GCCTCCTGCCTCCCTTGCTCTGATCCTGCCCCCTGGCAGGAGTGTCTGTTGGGGTGTGGGGACATCCATTTGTCCAATGCGCCCAGGCACAAACCCTACTGGTCCAGTTGCTAATCCACCATTAATACAGTATTTACAGAGGATTCCTTAAAGTATAGACACTACAAAGCCTATTTATCACTTACCCATGGAACCCTGAACGGATACAAATCTCTTTCCATGGATGCAGATATCTGCTGAACTGCAATGGCCAAAGGAGAACATGGTATTACTGTTCCCACGTACTACTGTCTCTTTTGTCGGATGTCATAAAACCCCACTGAAGGTTGTACAACTGCACAACCAGGAGAGGCCACTGGCATGGGGCACTGGCACCTGGGAGCCAGCAACACCATGTACTTCTTAAAATTTGTGTCCATGCAGAGCTCTGATATAGGAATATCCCTTCAGGGCTCTGAAGGGAACATGGACCATTATTCCACTGGTACCAAAATATCCTCTTTAAGTGAATTTTAAGGGTTGAAGAAATCCCAGAAAAAAAAATCAAATAACCTACTGTTTTTTTCCTGAGCATAGCTAGAAGCTGCTCAAACTTCTTTACACTGAACAGCCCATTTACCCCAATCATATCCTAAATGAAGGCTATCTTCCAGGGGTAATCGGGTAGTTAGATATTTAGTGCTGAAACCTTGTCTATACCAGTTCTCCTCTAAGGTTTCTTACCATGCTGGTATCAATGGTGCAAATATTCATGCAGACAGTAACAATACACTGCTGCCATTTTAGGCACTGACCTATACTAGCTGTATTACTCCTACTGTGAATGCCATTCAAATACCTGTTGGTACCCAGAGAATATCCCAAAGCACTTTCTGTGGGAAACTCAACATGTTAGACAAGAAGCTCAGTTCTTCTCTACCTTTAATTTCCAAACAGCCTCAAGCCCATGTACAGCACATATAACAAGCCAAGTAAAAACTAAGGGTTGAATTTAAAATTTCAAGTATTGCTGTTTTACTCTACCAGAAGCTCCCTTTTTCTGCATGCACACTGCTCTTCTGCTGGGTTTAGGAGAAGAGAGGTATTCAGTCAGGAAGTGGCAATCTAGGGGAGAGGGCCTGTCCATTTTAGTGACCAGTGAGGGAGAGCAGGACAACTGAAGAAAACCTTTCCCCATGGTAATTAACAGGTAGTAACAGCTGAGACAGAGTTCCTTCCTTTGCCCACTCAGCTCTTATAAGGACCCCTACCATTAGTCACCCTGCTTCAGTTCAACTCTCCACCTTAGTCTAGCTTCTGCTCCTTCTGGGGTGCTTCAAACCCTTTCCCAGACTAGAAGAAGCTGCAGCCGGGTTTCCACTCCCCTGCATGATCCCGCACTCAGTGCTACAGAAGGGGGCGGGGGAGTGTGGTGGAACAGAGATATCATCCTGTCCATCTCTCTCATAAGGGGAGGGAATGGAACTGCCTTGAGCTGACAGGCTCTTCCTCCTTCCTTTCCTGTGGTAAGACTCTGCCTGCTTCTGGTGCACCTTAACTTTGCAAGAGTGCAGGAGCTTCTTACGTCATTGAGGGTACATCTACACTGCAGGGGTTTTCGGGATACTGGATGTATCCTGGAAAAACTCCACCATGTCTAAGGAACATATTTGCTCTTCCGGTTTTTTTTTTTTTTTTGCAGAAGAGGAAACGCGCTCTTTCAGGGAGCCCTGTATTCCTTGTTCTCTGAGGGACAAGAGCTCTGCCAAAAGAGGGGGCTTTTCCACCATTTGGTCCCATCTAGACAGGAGCACAATTTGCATAGCTTTTTCAGAAAAAAAACAAAACAAAAAAAACCCCTAGAGTATAGATCTAGCCTGAGAGGAGTTCAAGCATCTCACTTGAAAGAAAACTTGAGTTGGCAAAAGCTCTTTTCCTCACCCCAATTCTTGACATTAATTCTGTATAGTTATTAAAATGTAATCATATTGTGTATAAAAGTAAAAAATTCCAGGGTTACTCCAGCTGTCACCTATATGAAGGCCATACTTTTGCTCAAGTTAAGTTTATTTGTAGTTGAGAGATTTTTCATATTTCTATGGCAAAAGTGTTCATACAACTATAAAAATGATATCTACCACCTAACTTCATAGGATCCATTTCCAACAACAGATTTAAGAAAATTTTGCCCCAAACACAGGTATGTGCTGAATAATGGAAATCAGAGAGAGTTACTTACCACAGATTGAAAATACTCAGGGGACAATCCTTCCAACTCAAGAATTTTATCTTCAAGCTTTTTAATTCTCTGATAAATGTCCCGAGGTACTGGACCACCTAGATGTAACAGTCCAAATCAGGAATGTTAAAATGCGGTTAATTGACTAGTTGACAGAATTTCCATCAACAAGTCGACAGGCACTTCCACATTCCTCCTTTGAAATGGACAAGAGCCCCCAGCAAGGACTCTCGTCCATTTCAAAGGAGGAATGAGGACTCTGTGTACAGCCCAGAGCCAGCGGGAAGTCCCACTGACTCCAGGCTGCAGGTGGCGTGCCTGCTTTGAAATGGACAAGAGTCCTCAGCAGGGGCTCTTGTGCATTTCAAAGCCGGGACGCAGAGTCCCTCACTGACCCTAGGCTCCATGCTACACTGCATGCCACGCAGAACCCAGGATCAGCTGGGGACTTCCCAGCTGATCCTGGGTTCCTTTGAAATGCCTCACAGAGCTGGGGTCAACCTCTGGCATTTCAAAGGGGCAACCCCGTGAAGCCCAGGGTCAGCGGGGGACTCCCAGCTGGGCTGCGTGCGACACCGAAACCCTGGGTTCTGGGGAAATTCTGTGCAGAACCCGGGATCAGCTGGGGACTCCCCAGCTGACCCTGGGCTCCATGGCTGCCCCTTTGAAACGTCACCTTGGGGTTTCAAAGCTGCAGCGCCGCACAGCTATGTAGCGCTACCACTTTGAAATAACCCTTCGCTATATCATAGAGGCAGCCACAGGGGAGCAGGGAAATCAATTAGTCAGACTATCCGATAAGCAAATGCTTCCCGGATAGTAAACTAGTCTTTAACATCCCTAGTCCAAATAGGAAGAGTAAGAAAACCATCTGAACAACATTATTATAAGCTTAAACTTCATAGTAGGGCTTGAGGAATTCACTTACTAGCCAGGAGATGAGATGAGAAAGATGGGAGAGGAAGTAAGAGGAAGGGTAACTAATATAGCCTGCCAAGAAGCCAAACCCTAGTTAGTTGCCAGGAGAGGGAATGTTGCTGGAATTTCTACTATGATGCTGTCCCTAGGCCCTGCATGGAAGCTCGTTTCCAATGAGATGTGATGAAAAGCATTCTATCCATAGACATCAATTGAATTTAAAACCTTGCTTAACTGTACTATATTAGTGATAATTATAGTACAAATACATTAATCGCACAGCTAAAAAACGTTGTATACACCTGTTTGTAACCGTAAATGAGCTTCAATGTTTTGCAGTCTTTCCTCTACTGCTTGGTTCCCACAATCACGAAGGAGAATATTTGCTTTATGAGTGGATCCATGTGTTCCTTCAGATTTGGTCTGAGGACCATACGTATTTACAACTCTAGAAACTAGATTAAAAGAGGTTATAAGATTACTACATAGTCAGTCCTTCTCTTATCAAGAATATTCTGCAATGAAAATATTTTCATCCATAACAGTAAAATTATACTAAAAAACCTTTCACTGTGATAAACTAATTTTACTACAACTTTCAACATAATGAAAATCTCAAACATCTAAAACTAGAGGTTCAATAAAATGTATTTCTTAAAAGTATGTTGCCTAACCAAAAAACAGGTATGGATAAAAACTCAGAGCTTTAATTTCTTTTTATTGGTGACAAAGGACAATTTATATTCACCTTTCTATGTGGCAAACATACAAGAATGTGTTGAATTAAGTTTTATTTGTCTTTTATCTGCTAATCTCAATAGCAGCAAGAGTTAGATTAGCAACTGAAAAACAAATATAACATCCAATCTAAATCAGTGATTGTCTAGAGCTAACATGGGTGGGAAGAGAAAAAAAAAGCCATGACCTAACAATATGGGAAGCATTACAACTACCATTAAGTTAATATGGAGAATATAGGGGGAGGAAAACAAGAAGAATTAGCAGAAATATTAGCAGGGAAATTCTCCATGTTTTGTTATTTTGGTTTGCAACCTGGGGCTCTGGTTGGCTCCTTTGCTGCTTCAGGGCCAAGCATGCTTCCCCTTCTCCCCACCCCCAACAACAGGTCAGAATTTTTTAACCCAACTTTGTGGCAAGATCCAGAACAACATTGTGCATTCCTCTGGGTGGTCTTACTGAACTATGCTATACTAGGAGTGTTAAAAAATTCTTATCAGTTACTCAACTATTCTACAGTCCCTGGGAGTGGGGACAGCAGCCAGTGCACTCCAGCCCCACTCCCGAGGAGTCCCCCGCTACTCTGCACTGCTGCTTCTGTATCAGTAGCAGCAGTGTGGGGTGCCAGGTGGGAGTTGCTCTGCGAGGGCAGCCACTTTAAAAACCAGATCCCCTCGAAGACTAGCTGCCTGTCACCCCATGCTGCTGCCTCTGATACAGAGGCAGCAGCGCAGGATGGCAGCAGCCCCTGTTTGGGTGAGGGCTGAGCTCCCTCACCCGGTGAGAGCTGGAACTGAGTTGGGCTGCCTGCCCGCCTGACTCCTAATACACTTTAAATGCAGAGCTGCAGTGGGGGAGGTCTCAGGACCCGGCGCAAGACAAACCTGAGATGGGCTTCTGGCCAGCCCGCTAAAAAATGTACAGGCAGGGGGGAAGGTTAGGGTTATCAGTTAATCAACTACACTATTACATCCCCATGCTATACCTACCCTATACCTGAACACCATTCAGGATCCCAGAAAGTGCAGCATACTGTTGTAGGATTACTAAGTATTTCATGCAGGGAACATGTTACAGGTGTGCTCCACAGTCTGTTCTGGCTTTGTTTCTAATTCTTTTTCAGATGCAAATATATGTGCTGATTTTGACCTATCAAAAAGGTCTGAACAGTATAGGTTTGGGCAACTTACATAGTTTAATGGCCTCTTTGGGGCTATTTAAGATAAGCTAGAACACCTCAACTAACAGCCTTAGGTTTACAAAAGAAAGGACCTTAACTCTGAGCCTCACTTCTCCCATCTTCCTCCTGGCACAACAGAGTCTGAAATGGTTAAGCTTTGCAACTTGCTATGGAGCTAATTTAATGTGTTATCCTAGACTTTTCCTGAAAAGGTGATTGAGTGAGTAGCATAGGTAGAATTTCAATTTTCGGGGGTTGGGGACTTATCTGAAATGCAACAAAAAAAGTTTGTGTGCCTAGAGAGTACTGATCAAGCACACTTAATTTCAGCACTTGGGAGATCTTGGTTCAATTCCCTGCTGTTTCAGACTTCTTGTGTGACTTTTGACAATCACTTAGCCTCTTTTTGCCTGGACAGTAGTACTTCTCTACCAACTAAGGTTTGGGGAGAGTTAATATGACTGTGAGGAGTTCCGATACTATGGTGATGCTTTCTATTCAGGCAATTATAAGGAATTTTATACACTGTTGTTTTTTAGAGTTTTTTTTTTTTTTTTTGGAAGGGTGATGAGGGAATCTTGTTCCCTGTGTTGTCCCCTCCCATGGAGTGCTGCTGTACCTTCTCTATTATTTGAGTGATAATGAGAGGAAATGATGACTTTCCACAACACTGGCCAAGCAACCTGAGTGGGAATGTAGAGGAGATTGACACCTTTCCCTCAGATGGCTACAGCAGTCTCTTCTTGCTCATCTGGCAATACCCACTTAGTAGCAAGAGAAGGAGCATTTAAAAGCTGAGCAATTCCTGTGATAATGAAGAAAATATAAAGCCTTCCAGTACAATAATTCTATCATTATAAATTATGAGGAACAAGGATAATTTTAAAAAAATCCAGTTTCTTAGCTAGGTTGCTAATATCAATTTAGATTGTTCAATACAAATAATTCTTACATTTTGAACCTACACTGTGGGGTTTTCTGTTCCTTCTTTTAAATCTCAGACAATGAAGTTTATTTTTGCTTCTGGTAAAATACACCATTAGGTTCTATAATAATTAATGGAGATTGCCTATCTCCTAGAACTGGAAGGGACCTTGAAAGGTCATTGAGTCCAGTCCCCTGCCTTCACAGCAGGACCAAGTACCATCCCTGACAAATTTTTGCTCCAAATGGCCTTGGCATTGAACTCACAACCCTGGGTATAGCAGGCCAATGCTCAAACCACTGAGCTCTCTCTCTCCCCCCTAGTTACTAGCACTGTGCTGCTGGTTTGGGATGGAAGCTTTGCATGGGGAATGACTCAAATTTGTTTAATAGGCTTAAAATCAATACAAACATTCCTATGATATTTTATAATATACAAAATAGACACTATATGTACAAAATGTATAAATCCATGCAAAAATGTAGATTAAATATTGCTCAACTAAAAGGTCTGGCATTTTCCCCAACTGAACAGTGTTCATTATGGCTAATATATTTTAAAGGAAAAGGTACATAGATATTAATTACCACTTACCCTTTACATGACTTTTAAATCCAGGATAAGGTGTGAAAACTGCATCTGTTCTGGCACAGCTGTTCTCTAAGAATTTTTTTTTAAGAGAGAGAGAGAGACCTTAAATTAAAATTGACCACTAGCTTCTTGGCTTTTACCACATCAAATTTTAATGCCCCCTCCTACAAGGTATGAAAGGCCTAGGCACCAGTTCTGTGACCACTTACATCCACCCCTCAAGTTCAATAAGACTACTCACCAGTGTAAAATCATTTATGCGTATCAATGTTTGCAAGATTATAACCATACTCTGTTACAAATGTATTTGTGTTCTATCTGTCCTCAGCTCCTTGGTCCATGTGTTTCTCCATATCTTTCACTTATTGCTTCCATCTCTTTAACCCCTACTTCAGATTTAGTTGTGTGTCTTTCTGCCTATAACCCTTCTCCTTGTTCAAGTCCCTCCTTAAAGCTAGTTTCTTCTATGACTCCTTCCTATTAGGCTCCACATCTGTAATCTTGTTACACTTTTGATGTCCTGTGGCTTGCCACTATTATTAACAGTAGTACTGTAGCTTGTAAAATTGTAACCCCCCTGCCTGAACAGAGACCATCTCTCATTCCCTCTCATCATATTCTATCATTTGTATTTTATTCTTGTCCATGTACTTAGAGCTATACTAAGTTTTGTTTTATAATAAAATGAGCATAAATACATGCAGCCCTTCTGCATGTAAGTTTACTTAACAGAACTTTTAAAAATTGGCATTTTACCATCTACCACCTCTTACAGTCTATTAACCTTGCATGTAAGTTGGAACAATCAGAAACATTGAAGTCATAAAACAGTGATCTTTGAGATCTAAAAGATAGCAGGCCAACAATTACTTATGTGATATCTGGGATAACAGATGCTGAAGATACTAGAGGACATACTGCAGTTTTCCTACTTTACTCCTTATTAATAAATAAGTCTCTTCAAAACACTTCTACAATTGTTTTGCTCTCGATATAATCACTGAATGTTTAAGTAGGATGCATTTAAAAAAAGACAAAAACTTGATTTAAGACCCTTCACATTTTTCTTATAACTTATTGCACTAGTAATTCAAATAAGTTACAATGAATATATTCTCTTGTAATCAAACTTGGTGGTATACTTCTCTGTTTGACTTTCAATATACAATTGGTAAAACTTTTTTTGCCTACAATTCTTCTGCATTAATTTAGGTGTTCTTTTTAAAGTCAACAATTACAATAATTTCATAAAGTAAGTATCTTCACATTAATGAGGGCATCTGATCAGACTCTGCAAAAAATATAGTAACAGCTCCTCTCTCTCAGTATGGACTTTATGATCAACACACTAATACTGGGAGAGTAATCTCTGTGTTTTGTCTGTTCAATAATTTCCACATCACACATACGAATCATCTTAAACTTTATTTTAAAAATGAAGGTTTTTTTAAAATATTAAAATCATTTTGAAACAAAAGAACATGTTTACATTGCTAGGAAGATTAAACTCTGGTTGGATAATTACCTTGATTACAATCAATAACATTGCAAAATTCCCTGACATTATTTTCATTGATCTCAGCTTGTTTCCTCTCAATGAAGGCTGATATCCTCCTGTCAATCTGCAAGTAACAGACATGGTGACATAACTATTTCATTGCTGTAATTCAAAAATAAAAAGACTATTTCTAAAAACTATGCAAGAAGGTCACTTACTTCTGCTTTTCCAGCTTTTATCTGGACCACTTCTGGGTCAAAATTAATATGAACCTCTTTCAGATCTCCTGAATCATAACTTGTATATTTTTCTTCTATTTGTGAGGTACTATCAGGTAACTTTGTATTTGTATCCAACTTCTTGCCTTCTGTTTTATCTGCATCTTCAACTGGGACTATATTTTCCCTTGTAATCAATAATTGGAGTTTTTCTAAAAGAGGCTGAACAAGAAAGGATATACAGTAGGGTTCAAAATGACTATACACTTCTCATTACAATTTTTAAAATAGGCTGGTTAAAATAATTTGCAACACTATACAATCTAATAAAAAAATTAAAAATATACTACTTCCAAATTTTATAACCACATCCTGTTATAGGTTTGTATATGAGAAATTGGGAAAATCCCAATAAAAAAATTAAAAATATACTACTTTCAAATTTTATGACCACATCCTGTTATATGTTTGTATATGAGAAATTGGGAAAATCCAAAATGTGTGAGCAAATCTGTCTATTGCTCATCTGTTATGAACCAAATCAAAGCTTCAGCCTTTGCCACCAGTGACACTTAATTAACATGTCATTCAGATGCCTACTCAGAACACTAGGCTTAGTATTTTTCCTCCTTAACACGAGAGCCAATGCTCTCACTCTGTAAAGCCCTTACTTTATTACTACATCACTAAAGATTCTCCACTTGAAACTGCAGTTGTCCAAAGTGTATGAGATAACAGATGTGAAATATAAAGGTGTTATGCTGAATAATCATGGTTTTCTTGATATGGCTGATCATCTACTCATTAACAAAATTAAATGAGGGAAAGCACTGGTATCTGTAGCAGCAAAATAAATGCTTTTCATTCCACTGGATGTATTCATGCAAGATCTAAAAAATGAAATCCTGGCACATAAGTAAGGCATCCATCCCCCCTTCCTCAACAAATTTAAGTCACTACTGAATTTTGTATCTTCTGTCTTCTCTACAAAACTAGGATTAACTATTACTTATAACACTACAATTTCTACCAGTGTAGGTTCCTGAAGAAGAATGAAAATAGTATGTTTGAATGTAAAGACTAAGTTTTACATTTTTTTAAAAAATCTTGCATTATGCCTTTTTCTCTGTCATATTAAAGACTTAATGTGTAAAACATAAAGGCCCTTTTTATCCTATAGAAGTTACTCTAATTTTACCCCATCACCCAAATACAATGCACTTGGAATAATTCACTCAACAGATAAATTGAAAAACTGAAATGTATTCAAATCACCACCTTCTTCAGATGTCAGACCATGAAGCGGCAAGGGCTCAAAACTGTTCAGCTATTGACTGGCCAAACCCAAAATCAAAAACAAAACAAAACAAAACACAACAAAATTTTTGTATAGTTACTACTTTTGATAGGGCCAAAAACTTCCAAATAGTTAACAAAAATTTAGTGACTGGCTACTTGGCAAAATGAGACATGAATGTCAAAGAAATTACTTTCTTGTTAAAACCTATGCTGAAAATATGTTTAATTGCAGTAAGATACTCCAGGATGTATCATGCTGGGATAATGCCACTTCTTGAACCACTGAAAGCACTCCATGAGCCTCAAAAACTCACCCAAGGCATAGAATCATTATCATAGCATGACACACACCTGCCGTGTCTTATTGCTTAATTACAACCCACCATAGATAGGAATGTATTGAATTTACAATGCAAGTCTAGAAATCAATGGGGCTGGATTTGTTCAGTCTTCTTACCCATAGTGGCCTGGTAGGCAATTCCTGTTCTGACAAATCTGGAAGAGAGCAGGTTTGAGTACCTATGAAGTGTAGTGGAATCCCAAATGTACAATATATTTGCATCCTTCTCAAGTTAATACTTCAATGCTAAATCAAAACAATTGAAATTATGCATTTTATATAATCTAGCTACATTTAAATGCTAATCTCTTGGGCAAGTTTAAAGTGTCCAATAAAATATTTACCTGCAAATATAAAATATGTTGCTGAAGTGCACTAAAAAGCAATGTAGGCTGGAGTGTTGAAGTACTTTGAAGCTTGCTCCAATCGATTACAATTTTCACATCATCTCCAAGGTTAAGCTTCAAAAGGGCAAACAAGCATCATCACAAAAATTACACCATTATTCTGTATTACAGAATGTCACAGAAGTATACAGGACTTCTATAGCTCAGTAAAAATTCTCAGCCTGTTGACCACATTTTTATATTAGAGCAGAAGAATGGTTCAAAAATGTTAGTTTTGCATTGAAACATCAGTTGTAACTGTCATTCCCCAAATAAATTACTGGGTATACTTGCATGAAGTCTGATTTTTTTTTTTTAAAATACTCAGTTAACCAGTGCCATTTTTATTGCATTAATATAGCCTCAACCTCTGTTAATGGTAGCTGATAGACTGACTAAACAGTTAACTGTTATTCTAAAATATTTTTGTCTCTTCTTATTTGCTTTTATTTTAGCTGCCTAGACAGCATAGCTAACGAGAAGCCCAAGCCACCACTATGCTTGTTTCATAGAGATTACTGCTTTGCAAACAGTGGAATATTAAAAAGGTAAAATGGGTTTAATTACCAGTATATAAAAATAAACTATGGCCTTGATTCTGAAACACACTGAGTAACTTTTAGTCTAAAAACAATCTAAAGTTACATTTTCTTTTGCAAGAAGTCTCCATAAATAATCTTTACTAAACCGTACGTTAAGCAAAATGTAGTCTATGTAGCAGAACTTTATCCACTCCATTAAACCTATTTAAAAATCAAAGCTTAAACTTTCTATGCAATTGAACCATTGCAAAACCAAATTACATACCATGAGATTATACTCCTTGGCGAAAAAATGATGCATAATTTACAAATATGCAGGTATTGAAGTTAGCTTTTACAAACTGTGTTGATCATGCAGCCTATTAAACCTCTAAATAATATGCATGTTTGTAAAAATAATTTTACAGTACACTTTAATAAACACTAATGAAATAAATGCATACTCTTCATTTCAACCTCTATTTTTATTTCAGTGAAACTTGTTCTCTCAGGCATGATCCTAAGAAATAGGAAGCACTTGGTAACTCTCACCAAAACTAAAGAGGTTGTTTTCCAATCAAATAAGGCATTAGAGATTCTCCAAAAGTGAATGAAGAGCTCTGTACTCTGGCATAATTCTTATTTAAATTAACAGAGGTTGTATGACATAGCCACACTCAGAATCAGGTCCAAAATTCCTAATTCATTGACATACTTGTAAGACTAGGTCAATATGATGCTCGCAAATGGTGCAAGCTCCCAGTTTAAAAAAAGAAAACTAGACCACAGGTAGATAGATAATTGTGTTTACATGCCAAAAGCCAGAATACCTTTAACATATACCCTCCACAAAGTGTGGGTCTCCTAATGGCATCAAATATGGGCAAGAAAACAGAATATATATATTTAGTTCTTGAGGGGTTTTTTTTTTTAAAGGGCTGATAATTGAAGATTGAAATGAGCAAAAATACATCGAATTCAGAGCATACATAGCGAGAATCAAATGTGAATAAAGTAAACAGAGTGCAAGCAATACATTGGGAGACAAAGAAGTTAAATATTAAACTACTTTGCATACTTGCTGTAAAAACAAGAACCACAGTAAGTGGTATACTTAAAATATGACCCTGATCCTTCCGCTTTAAGTAGGGAACATTCCTATTCCTGTTCTACTTGAGTAAATGTGTGACCCTAAGCCAATATGAAGGACAGAAAGAAGGGGACTCACCAATTACTACAGAAGCAGAAAAACTAGTGAAATAATAAGTCTGTATTTTTCTTCTTAGTCAGCATCAAAATTCTAAAAACTAACAGTCACAACAAGTTCAAGCTTTCCATTTCTTGTTTCAGTTAGATGTAATATATCAAGTATTATTAGTTAGAATAAAATACTTCTGTTTTAAATGTTTTTTTGGTATTTAATCTGTGTGTATTACATCAGGAAAATTCGTGTTTTCGGAAACATGCTCATTCCGAACATTTTATTTACATAGTTTCACTTTCTTGGGTACATTTTATTTAGTTCATGAGATTGTTTATCTGTATCTATGGTGCCACCCGGGTGTACATGCATACCCAGTTTGTGCTACATGTTTCCATTAAAAATATACAGTACACATTATTTTTTATATTGTTAAGTACAGTTTCTATTACCCATGGGAGAATTTATACCATGTATTATAGATTAAAATGCATACTCTTCAATCTTCCCTTAGCAATCCATCTTTTCAAATAGTCACAGATACAGTCATATGCTTTACTTGATTTTTGAGGGCTCCTATTTAGGTAGCTCAAAGTGTGGAAACCTTGCCAGATTTCTGAATGGGAATAACTTTAGGATAAACAGTTAAAAATGTAAGTGAAAAGGTTGGGGGGTTATTTGTAGTCATGCTTTAGTCACGAGTAAAGGATAACCCCTATCACCATATAATGTACACTTTTTGTATGTATTAATTTGCTGTTCAGTACAAATTAATCTGTCACATAAATGTATCTGCTTGCCTTCAAAGCACTTGTAAGGACTGTGATAAACAGAATGTAATTTTGTAGTTTCTGCACCTACTATACTCTCACTGGCTGACAGTCTATTTTGTGGTAACTTAAAGTCACGCCATCACAAAAGATAACCCTACGGCTCGAAACAACAACAGACTAGCAATTTTTAGATAAGATGTCCCTGTTGTGGAGGAAAACCACTGTAATTAAATTCTACTAAATCAGAATGTGGACCTTGATACACGTGTGCCACTAGGCCCAGAATTTAAAAGCTAAATTTCAGGTAACCAGTGAAGTACTGAATAAGGGACAGAGCTTAACCATTAAAAAAAAAAAAAAAACTACACATTAACTGCAAGGATTTAAACTGTTACATAGGACGTATCATCGCTAGCATCATATACCTACTTTTCTTTAAGTATATAAGGAGCTGGTATATATATATTAATTATACATACATACATACACGTGGTTCTGTAGTGCTGATAAGCACAAAGAACAACACTCTTTTAGAGTAACATGCATATAGCAGTGGTTACAGAATGTAAGTTTTTTCTTCATCCACTCAATTGCTGTGATGAGCGATGACTTGTGGAAAATGTTGTCCACAATAAAAGGAATACTATTATGTAATGATAGTGTGATACACCTAATACTTAGCACTTTACTGCCTCTTAGCACTGTATGAACATTAACCAATCCATACAGTGTTTCTTCTAGAGAGACAGAGTGCAGTTATCCATCTTAAAGATAGGAAAAATAAAAAGGCTAATGCCCGAGTTTTCAATCCCTTTATTTTGGGTATTTCAATATTGAGTGCTTAGATAGCTATGATGCAATTGCTATGCACCTCTGATAATTGTAGCACCCACTTGAAATGGCAATAAAGACAAGACTTGTTTTTGCCAATATCAAAAAATGTCACTGTTTAGTGGTAGACTGAAGAATAGTTGGGGAAAGTAGATATCTAGATTAAGAAAATATTTCAAGTTGTATACATTTCTTTGTCACTCACTGATCAGATGCAGCTTCACACACTGGGCTCCACACACTTGTGCATGGTTTAATTTGAGGGAAAAAACTTGATTTTAATGGGCTTATGAGCTGTCAGATTGGGATTTTCAGGATTGTAAACCATTTAGGACAAGGACTGTGTCTGGGTTTAGACCCTGATCTTCATAAGGACCTCTGAGTACTATGCTAATATCACTACTAAATGACAGTGGACTCTCCTCAGCTCTAAAAATAGGCCTTTACTTTTTAAAATCTTTAAAAAACCCTGAAACTGAAGCCAATTTTAAAAATCTGGCCCAACAAAATTTTCTTATATTCCACAGCAGCAAAGTCATGGGCTGTCCCGAGCCAAAAATTTCAGTAGCTCTAACTTCAAAGTTATAATAGACTATGAAACTTATAATGGTTTGTGGACACCACTCATAATCAGTAACCTCTTTTGTGTGATACAATCTCCACACTTTGTCACAGGAAAAATATTTCCTTTGTAAGTGAGTTCACAGGTAACAGTCACCTTTTTAAAGCCATAGTTAAAAGCAACACATTTGCTTTGCTATTAGGGTGTGTCTAGACTACCTAGTTTTGTCGACAAAAGTGGACTTTTGTTGACAAAACTATACCAGCATCTACACTACCGCTGAGTTCTATCGACATAACGTCGACAGAACTCAGCAGTTTTGTCGACGCTGGTATACCTCATTTTACGAGGCATAACACCTTCTGTCGACAGAACTCTGTCGACAGAAGGTGTTATTGCCTGTAACATTGCGTCCAGACTATGGAGTTCTGTCGACAAAGCAGCTTGCTTTGTCAACAGAACTCAATGTGTCTGGACGCTCTTTGTCTACAGAAGTTTTGTCGACAGTATCTGTCGACAAAACTTCCGTCGACAAAACGCGGTAGTCTAGACGTACCCTTAGTATGAAATGGCAAGACGAGTGTGCATGCCATCCATCACTCATGCAGCAGCAAGACATTTGAGCTTTGAAAAACTTACAAATAGTCTAGTAGCATCTTAAAATCTAACAAAACATGTAGATGGTATCATGATCTTTTGTGGGAACAACACACTTCTTCAGATGACAGAAGTGGGCTATGCCCACAAAAGCTCATGATACCATCTACATGTTTTGTTAGTCTTTAACTTGCTACTTGACTATTTGTTTTTTTTTTAAAGTTTTTTCTGTTACAGACTAACTTGGCTAACCCTCCGAAGCATTTGATCTTTGGTAACTGCAGGTACCAAACATGATGAAAACAATCCCAGATGAAAAGATCTCTCCCAAATAAGGGAGCTTTTGCTGGATTATGAATTTCAAATCGATTTCTAACCAAACAAATCCAAATTTCCTAGTCCCCGCCCTTGCTGCCTTCAGCTACTTCTTTCATCCCCTCTCCCAGGACAGCCGCTGGTCCCCCCAAAGGAGTCTCTCTCCCCACCGCCACGCCCCTAC